TATTTAGAATTATTAATAAATGTATTAGTTAAAGAATAAGAAATTAATTTGCAAACTTTGGTGCAAACAGACAAATAACTAGTTGAATGCTAACCATTATAAGTTGAGTGGAACTATAAATTTATGATTCGTTCGGATATTGCAAAAGATTATATAAGTTTCTCATTTGCGCATCCATGTGTATATTGCCCAGGGAAGTCCTAATGTCAACAACTTAAGCTATTTATATGCGTCCTACTACTTTTAAATATACAGGGCGTGCAAAAAAGGTGGGGGAAAAGTTTACGTAGTGGTTCCTTTGGACAAATAAAGATAAAATCAAGAATAATTTTTTTTTCCAAAATTGCTTATTAAACTAGATAGCCATCATTTTTATTTATACATAAACATTTTTATCGTTGATTTTTTTCAACCGGTCTTTATGAAACTTGGTATGTATGTTAAGCTAGAAGATAACCATGTTATAAAAAATTCCATCTTGATTCAACTTCAAATTTCAAAATGGTGGCCATTTTAATTATTAAATCTTAAATTAATAAAGAATGGCTGATTTATGATAAATGTCTTAACACTTTTATTACGTATATAAACTATTACGAATTAAATATTACGATATTTTGTTGTCAAATGGGGTAGAATAAGAATAATCAGCTCCAATTTACAACTAAAAATCTTTAAAACTTTTATTAAAATCAAATAAAATTTGTATGAAGTTGAATCAGGATTGATTTTTCCCAACATGTGTCTCCTATACTTTAATATACTTACAAAATTTCACCGGTTGAAAAAATATAAGATTAAAATGTTAATTAAAAAATATATAAAGGTCGATATCTGGGTAACAAAGCCAGGAGTCACTACCTATTTTACGGAAGGAGTCGCTACACAAATTATGTCCATACCCTTTTTGAACACCCTGTATAAATAGTTATTGAAAATATTATTTTATTGCAACAATTTAATCATTGTTTTGGAAATTGATGTTAAAAGTGCATCAATATCTCAATAACATGGAAGGAATTTCAAATGGCCAATACTAAGTAAGCATTACAACATCAGACAGCTGATAAATTCAATCCTATTATTATCGTTGGAAATTAATTACACTGATACATTTTTACACAATTCAGTCATTTGTTTATTTGTGAAGTAGGGATCACTCTTTCACTTGAGCAGCTACACTCATCTTATTGTTGCTAACTGTGGTCATTGGTCTTCAAATAATTTAAAGCTGTATAACAAAACAATCTTTACTAGTTGCTTATTATAGTTTAATTTTTGTTTATTTTGCATCGATCGTAAAAAGTTACACACTCTTTGATAAGTGTTTGTTGCTATTCCTTATATTTCCAGGTTTAATTGCAATTAAAATTACAGATATACTGATTTCCGAATTTGTTTACTTGTCTGCCTTTATGACTCCTTTACCTTTGCACCTCACTCATAATGACACTTCATGTACAGTTTTTACATATATGACGTCGCTGAGTCACTAGTGTCAATTACCAAATGGTTAATTATAGCTTCATCAAACTTACACAAAATATAAATGAGACAATGATTTTAAATACCATTATAAAATTAAACAAGTGCAACTGAATTTAAATCCTTCCACACGATTCGTAACATTATAATATTGTCTTTTATATATAAAACCCGAAATAGGAAGATATATAACTAAGGATGAAAGAACAAACAAGCATGTTAAAAGTAACATCACCATCGGCTTAACAATTCACAACAGTAACAATTCAGCTTAAAGTCATAAAAAATGGTATAATTATTAAATCCATTGAGTTTCCAAAACGAATAATTAAAGATCACGCTCTCGTTTTAAAATAATTGAACTCCATGTTTAGGGAATTTAATTCTGATATGTGTTGACTTAATATTTAACTGAAAAGTTTCAAAGACTGGCAATTGTTCTCCATTAACTAGGTTTATTTCTATTGTGTTTTTCACAACTACTCTATTTTATCAACGAGTTTTAATAAATGGGTAATAAATACGCCAAACTGATCAAGTATCAGTCTTAGTCTTATAAAAAAGTAAAAAAAAAAATAAATGCTGAGACTTGAATTCAGCCTGATCACTTTATCTGTTTGACTTATAGTAAATTTAGTGCTTTTAATTGATAAAATCAGCTTACCTGAGTGTCTTTAATAATAATTACGTAAACTCGTAATTTCAACAATTTCACATGTCCTTATGATGGGAGATATTATACTAACGTATTAATTAATATTTACATACAAAAATATTTTATGCATTTAATAGACATCAAAGTATTTAAACTACAATATGATAAAACAAAAAAAAATTTTATAAAGCGCTTAATGAGAAGTACAAAACGCAATAGAACTGTTGCAGAATTTTTTTATAAAGCCCGCAGCTGCTACAAAAGTGCTGTTGATGACACGATGTCGAGGTTTAAAGGGTGTTGTTCGTGGGATTGGTTGGGTGGGGGAGAATGGGGGGGGGATTTGGGGTGGGAGTGGTGAGTTGGAGGTCTAGCATATCCAACTGAACTAGTCACCACTCTATTTTAAAGCCACTTAGCCTAAATTTTAAAGCAAATTATAATAGTTATTCTTTCCTGGCATTATTTTTATCACACTGCTTAGACTGCGGTTTATTTTATATATTCCCAATACACATTTTAGATTTTATTTTAGCTTTACCTGTTCCTGATAAATGTCGTTAGTATGGTTACGTTGAGCTACATTTATAAACATTAAACTAATCATTTATTAGGTAAAACAATAGGCCTATACTCGAGAAATTTTTAATGGAAAATATAATTTGACTTCAAGTAAAATCCGGAATTTAATAATGAATAATTTTATGAAACAAAAAACATATTGAATCTAAAATTAGGTGAATATAATTTATTAATTTAAATAGGTAAACGAGTTATATATTAAATTTAGTATAATATATTTACATATCTTTAGTAATTCAATAATTTGAGGCCTATGGCTTAGCACTTTATAATTTTAACTTATTCGTCATTTTGCCGATAAGAAGGCCTAGATAATAGGTTTGTAGATTAATGGCTTTTACTTGGTTGATTGTAGTATACCATACAGGGTGTTTCGTAACGCTCTACCAACCTCTTAAAGCATTATTTCTGGGATCCTAAAATTTAATCGGTACATTTGATCCTTCTGTAGGTCATAGAGCCACATTTTTTTACGAATATCAAAAATTATTTTCTCCAATAACCATAACTATTACGAACCTTCAAATTGTGCATTGATATAATTCTTGGTGTCACTTCAAAAAAATATTTAAAATAGTCCAAAAAAATTAAAATAGCAGCGACTCAAAATGTTACTAATAACACGTTTAACACCATGAGTTGTATGAAAATGACCCAATAATACTGTTTTTATTATTTTTTATTTAAAGACAAAACCGTAATGCAACCTCAACACTGAAATTCAATAACAAATAACCGAGATTGGATTTTTTAGCGCGCTATTATTGGGTCAATGTGTGCTTGCAATGGCAAATGTTAACATTGTTTTTATACTTTCATGAAAAGAGTAATAATATTTCACAACATTCCACAGTTTAAGGTATCACGGAAAAAATCATGTTAAAAATGTAAAATGGTAACTCTATGAGTACCCATTTACTTAGAAATGATTTAAATGTAATGTTCAAAATTGTTGTGGATCCAGAAAGAATAACTTAAAAGGTTGGCAGAGAGTTATAAAACCTCCTGTATATTGTTATTCAAGAATTTAAGAATCAAGGGTTCGTTAAAACAATAATTATAAAACTAAAACTGTATTATTGGAAATTAGTTTTACTTGAATAAAAGTCCATATGACAATGACGCATCAGCTTAGGTAAGCAAACATTTAAAATGTTTAAAAAATCTCAAGAAATACCAAGAAAAGCGAGCACAAAAGCTAGGTCCTTTATTGATCGGTTGTCAAAACGCCAGGAATAAATTATCTTCTGTGACTTATGAGTAAAAAGAATCACCGTGTTATTTTATAAAATCTACGAAAAGAATCAAGCGAAAAACTAGGCCAAGCTGCATTATAATGAAATACTAAGATAGGTAATATTTCTAAATGAGACATATAAACTTTTGTATAGTACTTCCTCGGGCTTATGTAAATATTATTCTACATACATATTGATGTATAGTGGTATATAGGTCAGAACTTAGTCATAATAGTTAGTTCATATGCATGTCATATTATGTAGACAACACTTGAAAAGCTTTCGGTAAATACATTTTAGATTTGAAAAAATAAAAATACCGATCTTCAGTGAAAATAATTTATTGAGAACACTATAATGGTTTTTACTAAACAAAGAGTACTTTTGTATAAGAACGTGATAAACTGTAATTTGTCTACTTTATAAAACGTTTTAAATCGTTAAAACGTAGTTCTAGAACAATAGTTTGACAAATGGACTAACTCTTTTACAAGATCTTGTTAATGCCAAATTTTCTTTACGTCCTATCAAAGCAGAACATTTCCATTATCCAATTTCCACTAAATAAAAAACGCCTTATTTGTATTAATTATTACTATAATATAATATTTTAACTAGTTGGTAATTTTTATCAAACAAATTATTTATGTTATTAAGAAAGTGTTATTTACATAAACTTCTTTTGTTATTTTTGTGTTTGTTATGTTAAAATAGTGTCATGTCCGTTTTATAAATTACATTATTGTTTATTTATTTTCAAATTCAAAAATTATACTATACTAGTTTCTCTTTAATATCATCTATGTTCTGTATATAGAACACTACTTCGTATATAGCGTATGACAAATTGGCAAAGCGTATATAATTAATGTAAATATTAAATCATGCTTTATAATACTTAAATAATAACATATTATAATTTGAAATTCATTACCAAATACTCAAACCAACTGCATTAAGTAATTAAAACATAATTCTTATCAGCTTATACCTAGTGTAACCTTAAAAACAAGCAACCATAAGGTAAGTAATATATTTACCTTCAGCAACGAAACATCTCCTCTAACCTATAACATATATTTTGTATTAGTATCTAAGATTGATGTTTTATCACTTATATTTTAAATGAATTACTGTACACTCATGCGTAGCTAGACCTAAATGTATGCATATAGTACCATTTGTATTAAATATGTACATCAGTACAATTCTACATCATCCATTTGCTTGCCTGTAAGCATTGTGGCTTGAAGACTTACTTAATTATCTCTTGAATTGGCCCAATGATTGTTCGCAATTTGTAAAATATAATTAATTATGAATATTATTTTTAATGCAATATTTGACGTTAAATTAAACATTACTATCTATAAAAAGACATGTAAATGTTCTCCCTAACCCACCTCTATCAAAGTTTGTTAATAAAAGCTACAAAAATGGTCAACGTTTTTTTTCTTTAGTATTGTTTCTATCAGTCAGTAAAACAATTAACTGTATAACAAATAAAACAAGATATTATCGTTTCTTTTGGGATGGTTTTGTGAATATTTGGCAGATCTTTGAATTTATAAAAATGCCAATTTGTTAACCAAAATAGCAGAAAACCAATAAGTTTAATAATTTACAAACAAGTTTTAAATTCCAGATAGGCTTTTCTCACTTGCTAGAATAGAAGTTGTACAAATCTGAAAATGGGTAAAAATAAATTGTATTAGCTTCAGAACTGCAACATTAGCTAATAGTTTTTAACAATACCCGACATCAGTTCCAAAATGTAACCACAGACAAGTAATATAACATTTAAAGTGCTAAACGTTTCAGGGTACTTGTTTACTCCTGGACTGTAGTATTTGAAAATAGCAGCTAGTCGAACCATGAAGCAATTTGAATGTTACCATTTTTAAACTGATTTCAGGTAATATAAAACCAATTAGTGAAAAAACATCATAATTTGTTCATGAATGTTACAGAATGTGTTAAAAGTGGCTTTATAAATAAACTACTCTAATATTTTGCTAACAACCATTGCAATTAATATTTCAATAATCGAAACGGATATTAACTATCCTTTAGGGGACAACCTAAAGGGGGTCATTCTCATACATTAATTATGGATTTTTGCCTCTGGATAGATACATAATATTAAAACTAGTACTTTAGGCCATACAATCACAAATATGAAAAGAGTATATAGTTTTATTCGGATTTCCTAAAAACAGGTATTCAAACATTTGTATAGCCTCGCACATTACTATGGAATATTTATGAGTTGTACAATACAATTAAAAGACCATTTTAAAGGCATTAGTATTAATTTTATTCAATCAGGACTCCTTTTTTACCAATCTAAAATACTTTCGTTATTTATAATTTATTATTCGTTTATTTTATTATCTTCTAAAATACTTTCGTATGATCGATTAGCTGAAGACAGATAAATCGGACTCTAGCGCCTATTGTTTGCTGTAAAGATTATTTTAAGATATAAAAATATTTAATACAATACTAACTCAACTGAACCATATCCCATGTTATGTAAACTATAAAACAGAGTGCTTAAATTGTTTTAAAATACACCCTTTAATAAGAGTAAAACATTGAGTTTACTAAAACGTCATCAACTTGAAACACTCATCAACACTTGCTCTATATTTGTTAACAATACAAGATGTTTATTTACACTACTTAAAGCCTATGCTACAATTACACGTGCGTAAAAGTTTATCTTTAGATAAACGTAGTTTTGAAGGATAATTAAGAATAGCTGATTGAAAATGTTGAAAGTATTTTTTTATATTTATGTCACTGCTAAGCCAAAGTAAGCATACAATAAATTACCTTAGTTCTTTGGAGATTACGTTTTTGATGGCTAGGGCTAAGTAAAATCATCAGTAGCCTATTTAATCGGAACTATTTTCCCTTACATCGAGTACTTATCAGTGTAATCTTCGCTCAATAGGTTTTAAGACTGATGTTTTTGTCTTTGTACTATATTCTGTAATTTTTTTGTGCACTGCGGATGGCTTGTTTTTTAAACAAGTATTTTGTTTACTTTTTTCTTGTTATTTTGTTCAACCAACATAGTTCCTTGGCAACCCATAAGGCCAATATTAAATTTTCAAGTTTTCAAATGAGTTGTGTAGCTAAATACGAATTTCCCTGAGGTAGTGGATGTCACCAATCAAGTTTTAGGGCTATAAGTCACTAATTAAGAAATTTAGTCAAAATCCTTCCGCTGGATTTTGAGATATATTTACAGACACACAGACATAGCTCGTAGTAGAGTATAGACTATGCGTTGTAAATAATCTAATACATTCATTGATTTACGAGCAATGTTATTGAGTTAATATTATGAAAGCTGTATTTATAATTCTGTACATTACACAAACATTTGCTAGGATTGCAGTGGAAAGTAAGACAATGGAGTATGCCTGAAGTTTGTTTTAGCGGGAAAATAATTCATTGCCCCTCCAAACATAAGCCACCACCAAAGCTGTGCGCCCAGGCTTATTGCTCTTTATATAGTGTCCCGTCTCTTAGTTCAACGTTTACAACAACAACCAGGGTTTTTGATAAAATATATAATATTTATCAATTAACAAATAATTGTTACAGTGTTTGCAAACGATTGATAATTAGCTCCTGCAGAGACAGAGAAAAGCATTTACAACGGATGACAGTTCTCAATAGTATTTCATGATTTCATTTGCCATAAGATTTGAAATTCAAGATAGATCTATGCCTGAAATTGAAAAGTCAGAGGTCTTAAACAAACAAAAATATGTATTAATATTTTAGATATCTTAATTTATAAATTATAACTATACACATATTTATAGTTAGTCTGAGAAGAATGTATTTTCTTTTTTACTACAATATTATTTTTTTAAAGTTATTTTCCGTTAAAATATATTCAGAATTTGTTTCTACTTTGCAAGCTTAAAAATTTAACTTTTTAAAATCACCTGAACTAGTATTATGATTATTTAAAATTATTTAAAAGAAGAATATTACTAAAAGCTATTACTGTTTTGTAATATTTTTTCCCAAATAATACTTTATTACTTTTATCAAACTCTATGTTTTATGTAAAGTGCTATCGATAAATCGTTAACTGAATATTCTGTACTCTTTGTTTACAACGGTCTTATATTTACGTTATACTAATCACGGTAGGGGGGATAGACTGTTTACATTATAGAACGACACTAAATGTATATTAGTTTTACCCTCAGCGGATTTTTCTGTTGATTGATTTAGTTAACGTGAGTGAAGAATATAAATATTAGCTATCTATTATATTGTAATACTTTCATGTTGAGTGAAAATACCCATATTCCATTTACATTATAATTTTTTTATATATTGTTTTAGCAAAGCTAGTCATTTAAATTATTCTAAATTGTATTAATCATTTATCAAAACAATTTATACTATAATAAATTTTTTCGGTGAAAAAGCAAATTAAAAGGGCATTTATCGGCTATACTCATTTATAATCATAAATAAATCTAAAACAGAATTGACTTTACTGGTATTAATATAACTAATACGATATCATTTACTTTCAAAATATATAAAATAATTTTGTTACTACCAGCCTATAAAAACAAATATAAAATTCTTCTAAGTAATTACAGGAAATATCAAGGAACGATGTACTGTCACAACTTTTGAGATTTTATAACAAGGGATTGCTAACTCTACAAGAACAAATGTTGCTAATGGCAAGACATATTTCCTTGTTAGCGAATACAAAATCGTTAGGAGTTTGTAACGAGAACGAGCTAAAATTTGTCTGCTAGAGCGAGATTTGCTTACAAGAAGAAAAATGTTTAATTGTTGCACTTATTTTTTATATAACAAACAATGAATTACACAACATAATTAATAATTATAGGTTTTAGATTGGTTTCAGTCAAAAAAAGATTTATGATGAAGTTCAAATAAAAGTATTTTATTAAGTACATAAATTTATCTTAAAAAAAGGTAAAGAATTAGACAAATTTATGTCTACTGACTTTTATCAGCTAAAATGTTTCAATACAAAAATTAATAAAAGATTAAAATCTAACTTTAAAATTAGAGAAGAGATAATCAAGCGCTTATGTTTTCCCTGACTTGGATTTTGAGAAGAAATGTATTTTTTAATACCTTTCTAGGCCAAAATGAAGATAGGTTGTTAGTGCATATTCTATGTATAGTAATTTAAAATCGCCATTATTAACGAAACCATTATTACACAATTATTTCTAAAACTAGGTCATTGATTATGGAAAAAAATTAAGATTCTATAACCGTAAGTTATAAGAATTGTGTTATTGATACATTTTAATGATAAGAGTAAGACAATGTAGGTCATGCTTTTTTGTATACATTTGGTGGCTTTTTGTTTATAAATTCAAACTACTGAACATGTGTTTGGATTATGCGGTATAGTCCATCTTCGCGTTGCGAAGAACGGGTACAGAAGCTAGTCAATTATAAAAACAAGCTATAAACCAAATTGTTTCACAAATTGAATACGTCTAAACAGGGTTTGAAACTATAATGTTCATGTTAAAATTAAAATCTTTATATTTACTAAGACAAGTGTTAAACTTACCGTTGCCAAGTCAAGGATTTATTTTTTTAAAGACAGTTTAAAGTTTACCTCTATTATACTAAAACTATATGTAAATATTGTTTTCCTTTCCGATTGAACATATTATAGACGACGTTTTGCTGAGAAACTATTAGGGTTGTTGGGTTAAGTAACAGACTATTGTGGTGTCCCATAACCACAAAATGTTCTGTTAGTCGCATTGTAGACCTCAGACACCCACATTTAGAAGCATTCTACACCTATGGCTGACCTATTTTGGGAACTAGATTAGTATTTCTGTGTAGCTTGGAGTTAGTTTTAGATTTGATACTTTAATCTATAACTGTTAGTTTTATATCCCTGTAATTAATTATTGTTATGGAATCAATTCAAGGCCATTGCCGTAAATGTAAAACAGATCTTTGATTAATAAATTGTTTTTAATATTCTTAGTTTTATTTTATTGTGCATATAAAGAAT